GAAAGGAGAAAATAAAAATAAAAAAAAGACAAATAGCCAGCTTGAAATAGGATTTTAAAAACTAATAATAAAAATAAATAAATAAAAAGGGCTAATAAGTGGAGCTCTTCATGATTTACGACATATATTTTGTCCAGGATTCTATTGGTCAGGCAACATCATATTTGTCGTAATAGGGTTGGTTTAATAAAAGTCCGGTATTGACATGTTAGTTGGTGGATGTGACATGATGGATATCTAACTAGCAGGAAAAATGGATTCATGACTAGACTTCTTTTTGTTTTTAGCAGGTAATCAATACATAATGGTTAAAGGAAATTGAAATCGTTACAAATGGGGTATTGACAAGTAAAGTTTTCAGATAATCTGCGATCTTAACGTCGTGCCTAATAAAAATAATAAGGGTTTATAAAATATCTAAGTCATCTTTTTTTTTTTTTTTTTTTTTTGAGAGTTTTTTGTGCTAAGGGGTGTTTTAGACAGAGAGACAGAAAGCGAGAAATCACCCCCCAGGGGGGATGGTCATGCCGCAATCCCTTCTCCTCCATTCTCCTCTCGGGATCTTGGGCACACACGCACACGCGCCCGGCGTGAGTTTAAGCCACCGGGTCCGGGACGCGAACTGCGGTCGACCAGTGGGAGTCCAGCGACATAGCCATTACGCCAACTGCTGGTCCCTGGGTTAAATCTTTTAATAAGATTGTTCTGTTCTACATTGGGACAGTTTGTTAAATAGTTTTTGCCTGTTTATAAAATACATGCTCATGACCGTTTCTGAATTACAAAATCGGGGAGCGAGAAACTCGCCGAAGTGAAGCAGGATGCGTGTCAGCTAGTACTTCCTGTGGGAGCTCATAGACGAGGGCCCCGTGGGTTCAGCTGGTCTGAAAACCTCACTGAAGGGTCTGAGAGGGACTGTCTCCTCAGTCTGTTAGTACCTCAGCTAATGGCACTACTGTTCGGCATGGTGGAGGAATGTCTCCCCGAGCCCTCGGTCACCTTTTGGACCAAATTTAGAACCTTGTTGCCCTCCACCCTCTTTATGTTTGGACAGGCACATGTCATAAAAATTCCACAGGCAATCACTCTGATCTTAAATTTACCGTTAAGGGACCAGCAGTTCATGTAGTGGCTATGTCACTGGACTCTCATGTCGTCAGCTGCCGTTCAAATCCCACACCTGGTGGCTTAAACTTATGCCGGGTGTGTGCGTGCATCCCCAAGATCCCGAGAGGAGAATGGAGGAGAAGAGATAGCGGTGTGGCCATTCCCCCTGGGGGGTGATTTCTCGCTTTCTGTCTCTCTGTCTCTCTCTGTCTTTCTGCTAAACGCATGTACCCTATAGCAAAAACCTCTCCAAAAAACAATTATGGTTAATGATACTCGTTTTGTTCAAGCTTGTGTTAGACTGCCTGCCATATCTTTTTTAAAAAAGGTCCTATTATTTGGAATGAATTTGAATCTCTAGTATCTTGTTCTAACTGCACTCATTATACATGTCTTAATTCTTCAATTCCATTTAACCGATCATATGAAAGCATGTTTTTGTTTTTTTTTTGGAGAGGTTTTTGCAATAGGGTATGTGTGCTCTCCAGAAAGACAGAGAGAGACAGTGAGACAGAAAGTGAAAAATCACCCCCCAGGGGGGATGGCCATGCTGCAATCCCTTCTCCTCCATTCTCCGCTCAGGATCTTGGGCATGCATGCACACGCGCCCGACATGAGTTTAAGCCACCGGGTCTGGGACTCGAACTGTGGTCGACTACGTGGGAGTTCACCGACATAGCCATTACGCTAACTGCTGGTCCCAAGCATGTATGTTTTAAAAGCTCCAACTGGAATGTGGCTTCCAATGCACATACCGCCCATGGCAGCATTCCCCAGAGATGTGCATCACAAATGGTACTACTTAAACAGATTAAATGATTTATTGAATTTTTACTCCCTACCATTATGGGACTGATTGCTGTTACTGCTACCGCTGCTACAGCTGGCATCGCATTGCATCGAACAACCCAGACGTTTGAATTTGTTCAGAAACGGCATGAGAACTCCAGCGGGTTGTGGACCACTCAGCGAGTGATTGACAGCCGTCTTGCCTCTGAAGTTTCAGGTCTTCAGCAAGCAGTAGTTTCATTAGGAAGCCAACTTGTTAGCTTACGAAAACAATTAGCTTTAAAAGGTGACTGGAATGTTCCTTCTTTTGTATAACTCCTTTACGTTATAATTGCACTCATTTTCCTTGGATTAGTATCTGAAAACACCTATTAGGCCAGAGTAATTTAGCCTTAGATATCCAAGCATTACAAAGTGAAATTTATAATACCTTTGAAGACAATTTACAACAACTTTCTGGCTCTCAAATTCTTTTTTTTTTTTTTAATTAAATTAATTAATTAATTTTTTTGAGAGGTTTTTTGCTATAGGGCGCATGCACTCACCAGACAGACAGAGAGACAGAAAGCGAGAAATCACCCCCCAGGGGGGATGGTCACTTTTCCGCAATCCCTTCTCCGTTCTCTTCTTGGGATCTTGGGCATGCACGCACACGCACCCGGCGTGAGTTTTAAGCCACCGAGTCCGGGACGCGAAGCAGTCGCAGCAACATAGCCATTATGCTAATGGCTGGTCCCAGGCTCTCAAATTCTTGAAAGTATTACTGATGGACTGAGTCAGTTAAATCCTTTAAAACAGTTCAAAAATTTTAGGTCCTCTTCTTTAATTTTATTAATCCTGGTACTTTGTTTTTTATTCTTTTTTTTTTTTTTTGAGAGGTTTTTTGCTATAGGGCGCCTGCGCTCGCCAGACAAACAGAGAGAGACAGAGAGACAGAAAGTGAGAAATCACCCCCCAGGAGGGATGGTCATGCTGCAATCCCTTCTCCTCCATTCTCCTCACGGGATCTTGGGCATGCACGCACACGCGCCTGGAGTGAGTTTTAAGCCACCGGGTCCAGGAATCGAACCACGGTCGACTACGTGGGAGTCCAGCGACATAGCCATTACGCTAACTGCTGGTTCCCGTTTTTTATTCTTTTATATATAGTCTGGCAGTGTGGACGACAAGCCACTGCTCATGCAGCCCAGTGAGACGCCCTCTATACAGTAATGATACATAAGATTCAGCATAAACAAAAGGAAGGAAATGCTGGAGACAGAAACCAGCCCAGGCCTGAGAGAGCCAGAAGGGAAGAACGCAGGAGGGAGTTGAGGGCAACCCCTTTCCTGGACGGGAAGCTGCAGGGTCTGCATGGTCAGCCAATGGAGCTCCAGGCATGGTCTGTGTCTCAAGATGTCACACGACATTCTGCAAGCCAAGCTGTAGTCTAAATACTAAGTTAATGATAGCTACCGACCTTGCACCAGGAATAGCCTACAAAGAATTCCATGGGGACCAGCAGTTAGCGTAATGGCTATGTCGCTGGACTCCCATGTAGTCGACCGCGGTTCGAGTCCCGGACCCAGTGGCTTAAACTCACACTGGGTGCATGTGCGTGCATGCCCAAGATCCCGAGAGGAGAATGGAGGAGAAGGGATTGCGGCATGGCCATCCCCCCTGGGGGGTGATTTCTTGCTTTCTGTCTCTTTGTCTTTCTGGCGAGTGCATGTGCCCTATAGCAAAAACGTCTCCAAAAAAAAAAAGAACGTCGTGTATACTGTACATTATTCTTTATAGCAAAACTCACCCAGTGCTTATCTGATTTAATTTGGAGTAAATGGACCTTGTTTTGGTGTGGTTTTGCTTCTGCTCCAAGAGAGCTTTAGCCCCCTGCTTTAACCTCTTCCTTGTCTCTTTTCTCAATCCTTCACGACACCCTACCTTCAAGCCCTGATGTTTTCTCATACTCTGTCAACATTTAAAGGGGAGGGGGTTGCCACTGACTGCAGAGCTCTGTCCAGGCAAGAGGGGTGGTGGGGGAGTGATCCCACCGCCATGGCTGGAGGGCATTACTTCCTTGGAGCTGGCCTCTCTCCACCCTCACTGCTGGCAGCTGATCAGAGTCCAGGTAGGAGATGG